TTTTTATGACTAGATAACGTTCCAGGTAAAAAAGACAAAATGGTCTAGTAAAAATTTGTCAATGCAAATGATAATGATAGTATTTTCTTGCTTTTAATTTTTGTATTTGTTTTATACTCTCAGCTATTTACTTATAAAATAATATTTTTTTTATATTCAGCTTAACATCATCCTAATTTTGAGAAAGTTTAAAATATATGAAATAGTGTTTTCTTTAGTTCTAGAAAAAACTTACCAATTAGTGTACAAATAAATATTTTAAAATTTATTTGTAATTTTTTAGCTGAATAAAGAACTTGCCCAAGAAAGAGATCGATTTAGTATTCGATTATACAAAGTCAGGTTAAATGAAATATTTTTTATATGAAGTAAAGTTTATATTTATATATTTTCGTATATTTTCTTTTGCATTTTCAATCATATTTGTGTGTTTTCTTTTCGTTTCGCTTATTTTCTTTGTGTTTTTAATATTTTCTTTTGCATATTCAAACATTTTTGTGTGTTTTCTTTTATTTTTTGTTTTGTTTCTTGTCTGTTTTGTTCTTGTCTATTTTTTGCTAAACTTGTTGAAATTTTAAACGAAGGTTTTTTAATAGCCTTACAATAACTTGAGAAAGTTATTGTAAGGCTATTAAAAAAATTTTTTAGCAGTCAGCTTTAGCAAGCACATTTTTAATTTGTAGATTTGTGTATGTATCAAAAAAGTGTTATTTATGAATGACAAGTAACTGAATAAAACAAAACATGCTAATTGTTATATATTTTTTTATTATAAAAAAATTATCACCTAGGTATTAAACTTTTCAAATATAGAGAAATCTTTATTTAGACAGTAACAAGTTAAAGAATCCTATACCTCATTTAAGCAAAATATTCATTGAATAAATTACAACAATTAGATATTTTTGAATTAAAGATTTCTGTGACAATTTTGTTTAAAAAAATTTTTGCAGGAAATCTTTTCAGTGTTTATTATCATCCTCTCTAAACAATCTTTTTTCAAATCTAGATTTTTAAATAAATTTATATTATGGCTAGTAAATATTTTGAAGTGTAAATTTTAAATGTTTTTATCATGTATAAAATTCTAGTCAAGAAAAGGATGAGCTGCTGTTAGAAAGTAAAGAAATGCATGCTAAACTTCAAATGAAAGCTGAAGAGTGTGCCGTTCTTAGTGGTCAAGTTCAAGAACTTCACTCAAGACTTCAGAATGGAGAAATAATTGTTCAACAGGTTTACACTTTTTTTACGTAAATAACTTTAAAAAGTTAATTTAAAAAAATTAATTTAATTAAAAATAAACTAAAAAATATTGATAAAGTTTATTTTCAAGTGCTAATTATTTTTTTTTACATACCATACCATATTTTTAAAATAAACATTTCATATATAATTTTATTTTTGTATAATTTATTATGATTTTTCAAATTTACTTATTTATTTCTTATTATATAGTTAACTAGCAACTCTATTGATAAAGTTTATTTTCAAGTGCTAATTATTTTTTTTTACATACCATACCATATTTTTAAAATAAACATTTCATATATAATTTTATTTTTGTATAATTTATTATGATTTTTCAAATTTACTTATTTATTTCTTATTATATAGTTAACTAGCAACTCTATTGATAAAGTTTATTTTCAAGTGCTAATTATTTTTTTTTACATACCATACCATATTTTTAAAATAAACATTTCATATATAATTTTATTTTTGTATAATTTATTATGATTTTTCAAATTTACTTATTTATTTCTTATTATATAGTTAACTAGCAACTCTATTGATAAAGTTTATTTTCAAGTGCTAATTATTTTTTTTTACATACCATACCATATTTTTAAAATAAACATTTCATATATAATTTTATTTTTGTATAATTTATTATGATTTTTCAAATTTACTTATTTATTTCTTATTATATAGTTAACTACCAACTCTATTGATAAAGTTTATTTTCAAGTGCTAATTATTTTTTTTTTACATACCATACCATATTTTTAAAATAAACATTTCATATATAATTTTATTTTTGTATAATTTATTATGATTTTTCAAATTTACTTATTTATTTCTTATTATATAGTTAACTAGCAACTCTATTGATAAAGTTTATTTTCAAGTGCTAATTATTTTTTTTTACATACCATACCATATTTTTAAAATAAACATTTCATATATAATTTTATTTTTGTATAATTTATTATGATTTTTCAAATTTACTTATTTATTTCTTATTATATAGTTAACTAGCAACTCTATTGATAAAGTTTATTTTCAAGTGCTAATTATTTTTTTTTACATACCATACCATATTTTTAAAATAAACATTTCATATATAATTTTATTTTTGTATAATTTATTATGATTTTTCAAATTTACTTATTTATTTCTTATTATATAGTTAACTAGCAACTCTATTGATAAAGTTTATTTTCAAGTGCTAATTATTTTTTTTTTACATACCATACCATATTTTTAAAATAAACATTTCATATATAATTTTATTTTTGTATAATTTATTATGATTTTTCAAATTTACTTATTTATTTCTTATTATATAGTTAACTACCAACTCTATTGATAAAGTTTATTTTCAAGTGCTAATTATTTTTTTTTACATACCATACCATATTTTTAAAATAAACATTTCATATATAATTTTATTTTTGTATAATTTATTATGATTTTTCAAATTTACTTATTTATTTCTTATTATATAGTTAACTAGCAACTCTATTGATAAAGTTTATTTTCAAGTGCTAATTATTTTTTTTACATACCATACCATATTTTTAAAATAAACATTTCATATATAATTTTATTTTTGTATAATTTATTATGATTTTTCAAATTTACTTATTTATTTCTTATTATATAGTTAACTAGCAACTCTATTGATAAAGCTGCATTGTCAAAATGGCAGTCTGAAAAAGAAGATCTTTTGCAACTCTTGAGCGAAGTAATTTTTTGTATATTTTAAATTATTAAATGATTTTGATAAAAGAATAACGATAAATTTTTAATAAACGTTTTTATTATTTTATTGAAAGAATAAATTAAAAAAAAAGTGTAAAATTTAATTTGTTAATATTAGCAAAAGTCTGTTGTTCAAAAACTTGTTGCTGCAAAATCTGATCTTCTTCAGAAAAATAATGAGCAACAAGGAAATTATGATTATCAAATAGAACAGCTAAAAAATAAGGTAGCTCTTTTAATAGTCATTTTTAAAATTTGTTTTAATCTTTGTGGAATTTGCTATGACTACCTAAAAGTATATTGTGTTTTTTTATATAATGGAATCATTTAGATAAATTCATTAGAAGGTGAAAAACATACAATTTTAGACAAAAATAATGACCTAGTAAATACAATAAAAAGTTTGCAAAGTAAATTCGGTAAGTCAGTTGTTATCTAAGATGTTAATATAATATAAAACATAGTTTAATATATATATAAAACAGGGGATTATTTTATTTACTATTTTTAAATAGGAAGTTCCATAAAATTATTTTAATATTTGCAGATCATCAGGCTTTAAGTAAATCACAAGACGATACACAGTTTGTTACTCTAGCCAAATATGAGGAAGCAGTGGCAAGCAAACTTAACACTGAAAAAGAACTTGATATACAAATTAGTGAAAATCGAAGACTTGGTTTACAAGTATTTGAACAGAGTCAACTTATAGAGGCATTGCAGTCAAATCTTGATTTGCTGCAATCAGAAACGTCCTCCAAATCTCTACTTCTAGAACAAATCCAAGCTGACAAGGAAACAATCAGCCGTGCATTGCAGCAAAACAAAGCATTGAAAGAACAATTGGCCGAGTTAGAAGATGGTTTTGTAAGAGTGGTATATATTTTAAATAAAGTTATAGCATTAATTTTGAAATAGTAAATTGTGTAAAAGTGAATTTTTCTAATTAATTTGATTCATCAATCAAATTTATGATTGCATTTCAATTTTTTCAATTTAAGCTTTTTTGTGTAGTGCACAGTGTTATTCCCCTTTTCTTTTTTTTTTCCATCCAATTTTAGCCTTTTAAAGTTGTAAAAAAAAATTTTTTGTATCTATTTTCAAACTTATATTCATTTTCTTAATGGTGGAATAATTATTTAATTGAACCTATATATATATATATATATATATATATATATATATATATATATATATATATATATATATATATATATATATATATATATATATATATATATATATATATATATATATATATATATATATATATATATATATATATATATATATATATATTGCTTTGTTAAAAAAAAAATATGTTATTTGCAGTCAAACCACAGTGCTGAGTTGACTGGGAAGCTTGAAGCTGAACAACACAGCAATAAAGATATCGCAGCTAAACTAAGTGAAATTCAGTTAAGCATGGAGGAAACTAAGTTGCAAGTGTGTTTTGTAGTTTTTAAAGCTCATTGTTGAAAGTATCACCTAATATCTTTTTTAATTATTTAAAAGAGAAAATGTCAAATGCAAAAAGAACATTTAAATATTTGAAATTTTAATGATTTTATCAACATATAATTGAATAATATTTTTTCTAAAGCTTGCAACCAAAACAAGTTTATGTGTAGGCCTTGAGGAACAAGTTCTTCATATCAAAGAAGAACTGAAAAATGTTCAAAACAAGGTAACTCTTTTTTTTTTAACTAATTGTTGCTGTTTATAAAAATAAAATAAAAAATTTTTGATGGAGAAAAATATTTCTTCAGCTTATTTCAAGAGAAATGGATCTAGATTTGTCAAGAACAGAATTACAAAGTGTTAAAATTGAATTAGAAAGTTTGACTCAGTCCTCAATTCAGCATACAAATCAACTTATGTTTATTGAAAAGTTGCAAGAAGAATTAATTTCAGCACAAGTAAAAAATTTCATTTTTCAAAAAAACTTTTAAATGTTTTATTTTATTATTATTGTCTATTATTAATATTTTTCGTATTTAGGATGCAATCAATAAACTATCTAACCATAATGCACATCTTCAAGATGTTTTGAATGAACAGAGAACAGACAGAGGTATTGTTTTTTTTTATCTACAGATTATGTGTATGTATATGTTTATATGTTTATATGTCATATATGTGTATGTATGTATATATGTGTATGTATGTATGTATATATATCATATATGTGTATATATATCATATTGATGTATGTATATATGTCATATATGTTTATGTATATATGTGTATGTATGTATATATGTCATATATATTGTCAGTGTAAAGTCATTACCACCCATCTCAACAAATGGAATTACAAGATATGTGGTAATGACTTTTCATCTAAAAACTGTATTTTTTTTCTTATTTATTGGTTATTATAATTATTTCAAGTTAATTTATATATCAAAATATAAAAAAATTTATTTTTAGTAAACACGTTAATAAGATTTTATATATTGTGCTTAATTATTATAAATTATACTGGTTATAAAATAATACTGTTAATAAGTATGTTGTGTTTTTTAAGAAAGTGGTAATTTATATCCAAGTAGTGGAATGGAAGATGCTGGAGAAGAAGTAGCATCTTTTCAAGAAAATAAAATAGAGGGTGATCAAGAAGATAGCGATATATCTTGGGATGATGTTGATGATGGGGAAGATAGTGGTTACCCAAATAATGTTGTACATTTTACTTCGCAAGAGGTTATTAAGTTGTTGTTTTTTTTTAAGTCAAATTTGTGCTGTGTAAGTGCTTTAAAATTTTGTAGTTAAACTTAAAATTGGTATTTTTGTTTTAAATTTAATATTTTAAATAAAACCAAAGCTTTTAAATTATAAATACAATTATTATACAGGTTGAAGACATGCAAGCTCAATTGCATCATTTGCAAGAGGAACGATTGAAAGTAATCAATTTGTTGCAACAGCAAAGGGAAGAAAGCTTCCACACCAATGAACAACTTGAAGAGCATGTGGAATTGAGAGTTCAACAACGACTCACTCAAATACAGCGCGAACTACAAGAGCATTTTTATGAACAAACAGAAGCTTTACGTTTAAAAGTAACATCGTTACAAGAAGCACTTGAAATAATGAGAAAAAACGAAGATGTTTCAGATTTTGAAGCAAACGACACCTTATCAAACGGATCACTCAAAGATGCTTTTTTACAACTTCAAGTAGGAACTTTATGACTTTTTTTGTTATTATCTATATTTCCATTAAAACTAGGATAAAAGAAAATTGATGTTTAAAAACATGTAACATTAAAGTAAAACATTCTTCATAGAAACGTTTTAAGTCTTTAATGGATATGAAAGCTCAGCTATTGGACCGTATTGATCAGTTAGAATATATGAACATGAAATTAGAAAATGAAACAGAGACTATTGGTGAATATGTAGCTCTTTATCAAACACAACGGAAAGCATTGAAAGAGAAGTTTGATGAAAAAGATAGAACAATACTATATTTAACTAATGAACATACAAGAATGCAAGTACGTGAATTTAAGTTTTTTTTTTCTTTTTTTTTTTTTTAATTAATTTTTCTTTTTTAAATTTATTAGTGTTTTAAGTTTTATTAAAAAAATAAATCACTAAAAACAAAAAAAAAAATCAAAAAAATGACCATAAAAAAACCTCTGAGCAGAATTTAATTTTTTTAATTCAACTCCAAAACTATAAATTGTTAATTTATTTTTTTAGAATAAAGTTTCTCAGCTGCATCAACTTGTTATCCAGTTAATAGAAGAAAGATCTGGTACTGATACGAAAAACAAAGAACTTCAAGCTCATACCTACAGGCAGTTAACTATACAATCAGAAAGCATCAACGATAGTGAAAAATCGTCGCTACAGTATAATCTAGACAACTTATTCGGCGAAGTAAATACTACACCAGACGACGAATTAGAGCTTACAAAAGAAATCCAGATACAACCTAGCGTTAATACGTTTCACAATCAAACAACCCAAAAAATTCTTCAATTATTCGAGCAACTGGAAACAACTGGGGAAGGCTTTCAACATGGGTGGTTTTCCCCAGCAGCTAGAAAACATGCTTTCACACCTTGCAAACAATGCTCTGGGTCATTAATAAATCTATAAGATTAACACCAATATTTCAATTTTATTACGATATAGGTTTTTCGTAAAAGTCTTTAGATAGTGCATTTCTATAGTTAATTTTTTTTTTTCAAAATTTTCACTTGTATAGTTTCGTAGTTTTCAATTGCTAACAATTATTTTCCTTTAATAAGAAAATATTTTTCTTTTAAATGAGAAAACATCTATTTTTCTCATATTTATTATGTATAAAATTTAACTTTTTTAATTTGGTTTTCTATTGAGTTTTTTATATATATATATATAAGTTATTGGATTGTTTATAATGTATGTATATATAAAAAAAATATTTAGCTTTTGGTGAATTTTCTGAATATCTAAGCAAAAAAAACAAAATTTATATTTTTATGGTGAAACCAAAACTTTTACTGTTGAGAATTCTTCACTATAACTTGTTATCTTTTTAACTCGTGTTATAGTTTGATGTGAATTCTCTAAAGGTCATTTCTCTAAAGGTCTTAACACTTTAAAATTAGGCATGCACTGGTATTAGTTGCGTTGACAATACTTGAAACTTTTTTTCAATAAGATTTTTAAGTACAATCAAGATTTGTTGAGTTTAATTCGTTATTTTATTTAATAATCGCGTTAAAAATAATCTAACTTTTAATAGATCGCGTTAAGAATAATCTAATTTATAGCAAAAGTTAATACATTTACACATAATAGCGCTTTTTTTTTTTTGTTCTTTTTTTAATTGTTTTTTAGGTGCTCCAAGAAGACCTAACTGTCTTGTCACAGAGCACCGCGGATATAGATTTAACCAGGAAGTTCACGCCTCCTTACCGTGACGTGAAAATATGTCCAGAGCTCGTTTTGAACCTGGATCTCCTGTCTATAAGCCAATGCGCCACGGCCGCACTTTTAAACTCAGTTTAAAGCACAATTCTACGAATTAGTATTTGCCATGTTTCTAACCAGAGTACTTTTTTTAAAAAATAACGAAGTCTATGTTGGGCTATGGTTCGTATTTCAAAAAAAAAAAATTGCATAAAATAATATCATTTGTATTAAGCTTTATAAAACAATCAAGATTGTTGACTAATACAGTTTTACTGTTATAATATATAATAAGAATAAGCTAGAACCATTTCTACAAAGAAAAATAAATTCGTTTCTGCAGCGAAAATCCGATTTAGTTCAAGGTCGTTAAAGCAAAAAGGTTGCTGATTTCTATTTAATTATAAGAAAAAATTTTTAATAAAAGTGAATTTTATATATTTTTTTAAATATACTTTAAGTCGCTTTAGAGGAGGGGTAGGCGGTTCGCTATAAGGGTAATTAGGGTGGGGTCTGCGATTTTATAACGTATCATCTTTTTTTTTTTAGTTTAAAATCTAAAAAAATATTAATAAATTTATTTTCTTTAACTTATATCAGATCTATAAAATTTATTATTTTGGATTATTATAACAGATTTGTGAGAATTATTATTACAGATACGTGATTAATATTATGAATTTATTATTATATATTTATTATTACGGCCGTTTTTGGATTTATATTTTCAGCTTTTATGGTATGATAAAATTTTAAAGGTTCTGTGATAAGATCAGTAGATCTTCTTTCAGAAGCCTTGTTTTCTTTGTTCTTGTAAAATATAGTAATTATTTTACGGCAAATGTAAACAGAAAAAAAAAAAAAAAAAAAAAAAAAGACTTTCATTAATTGCATCTAACCAAACCACAACCCTCAGTTGATGTATCTACATGTTGATTGTAAAATCAACTGCGCCTAAATCTTACTTAGTCAATAAGTACACTCCGTAGTTACAGCCTGTTAATGGACTGTTACAGCCGTACTACAGCTGTAACAGTCTATGTGCAGTGCACGTTCTGCGCTATATGGTCTAAATGTAGAACTTTAATTATTTGGTGCGCAAAAGTGTGCAGTAACAAGAAAAACAATCTTTTGCACTAAAAAAAAAATTTTTTATATCAAGCGTCGATCCCTTGATTTGCTGGCCTAAAGCAGGATCCACTCGGCGACGCTAACATCGCTATTTTGGAGAAAATTATGTTTATAAAATAATATTTAATACATGTATATATGAAGAACAGCTATTTAAAATTGGGATTGTGTTTTGGATAGCGATGTTAACCTGTACAATTTTACACGGAACTATTAGGTTGAAAAAAAAACTTGAAAGTACTAATTAACTCAAAAAACCTAAGAAAATGATGGGCATTAATATATTTAAAATTGTTATAAAAAAATTTTTTTTTCAGGGAGGAGGGGGGGTAGGGAGAAGGGATTTATTTTTAAAATTAGAAGAATGAAGGTGTTCAACTTATTGCTGAAGAAAGAAGGTGTTCAACTTATTGCTGTATTTAGCTTTTTTACTATAGCAAGCATAAGTTCTAACGCAATTTCAGCAGTTATAAGGTTTGATTTACGTCGAAAAGTGTGTCCACTGTTGCCTTTATTGGAATTAGCACGTTTACTAGTTTAGAAACACTTTCATACTCACTATTTGCCATTTATTTGAATTCTTAATACTGATATCAATATGCACTTTTTTAATGCAACTTTTTAACTTAAAAAACTTCAACTTCAGCTACTTTAATTGACAATATCATAACAAATGATATTTTTAATAAATCTCTGAAAAAAGTTTTAATTTTCCTACCTACCTATTTTTATCTCGGAAACCATTTTTATCTCGATTACCATTGCCGGTAATAAAGGTATAATTTTCCCACTTCCTTATTTTTATCCCACTTCCCTATTTTTATCTCGATTACCATTTTTATCTCGATTACTTCCTGCGGTAAAAAAGTGTTTTGAAAAACAAGTTTTTCAAAACACTTTTTTACCGCAGGAAGTTTAAAATATTTAAAAGAGCACCTATCTCTGCTTCATTGGAATCAAATTAAAGTATCTACAGACGCTAATCAAATTTATGACGCTTTCTTTAAATTTTTTTATGAAATATATGTCATAAACTTTCCAAAATGTACATTAAATTAAAAAAACCAAGAGTTTAATGTCACCATGGATCACAAAAGATCTTTGAAGATCCTCTAAAATTCAGCAAAACTTTTATATCAAATACTTTAAAACTTAAACAAACAAAAATAAGATTCTTTATAAAAATTATGTAAAAAAATTTGTAAGACAAAGGAAGAATTTAAAAAAATTGTACTATTCAAATTTACTTGAGATGAACAAGCATAATTGTAAACGCACATGGGAAATTCTTAGAGAACAGAAACTGTGTTCTTTACCTAAAACTATAAAAATTAATGGTGAATTTTCCTCTGATCCAACTGTAATAAGTAGTGAATTAAATAAACTTTTTGTTTCTGTTGGCCCTAAGCTAGCTAATAAAATTCCTCTGGTGACTTATAAAATATATGAGCACGATTTTTCGATTACCTTGGTCTTAACATCTTATGAAATATCTTACAAAGATTTTGAGCAATCTTTTAAGATGCTTAAGTATAATAAATCAGCTGGCCATGATAATAAAAATGGTAATGTTGTCATCGAGTCTTATAAACACCTAAAAGATGTACTATTTAAAGTTTTACATTATTCAATAAAACTGGGCGTTTTTCCTGATTTTATAAAAATAGCTAAAATGACTCCAATTTTCAAAGCTGGTGGTGCAACCAATGTTTCTAATTATCACCCAAATTCTCTTATGTCTGTTTTTTTTTTAAAGTTTTAGAGAGAATTTTATATAACGTAATTAATAAACACCTTTCTTCAAATAATATACTATATATTAATCAATACGGATTCAAAAAAAATAACTCAACAGAACATGCAATAATTCAAATTATTCGCATTATTTCTGAATCTTTTGAAAATTCTCAATTCACGTTGGAAGTTTTCATAGATTTATTAAAAGCTTTTGATACAATTGATCATAAAGTTTTCTTAAAAAAACTCGAATATTATGGATTTAAAGGAAATGTTTTTGTGTTACTTAAAAAGCTATTTAAGCAATCGTAAACAGTTTGTTTATAGTAATTTAACTGACCCATCCAATCTATTAAATATAATCTGTGGTGTTCTCCAGGGTTCCATATTTAGGCCCCTTCTCTTTCTCATTTACATCAATGATTTACACAAAGCTTCAAACTTAATCTGTCATGTTTGCAAATGAAACTAACCTTTTTTTATCTGATAACAATATTACAACATTATTTCAAAATATGAATACCAAATTAACAAAATACTATAATAAAAAGAGTAATTAACAAAAACTTTTGGGGTATCTATATCAATGAAAACCTTAATTGGAAATATCACATTGAATTTTTGTGTAATAAAGTTGCTAAAAGTAATATTGTATAAAACTAGAAGTGCTTTAAATAAACGTAATTTAACTCAATAGAACCCGTCATTTCGAAAAGGGCACAAGTCACACTTTTTTCAAATTTCACTTTTTAATGCAATTTTATTTATTCGAGTGTTTTACATATTCCCTTTGAAGGAGAAACATTTTCATATGCCACAAGTCAACTTTAAATGCAAATAAAAATTAAAGTCTGTTTGAAAATGGCAATTGAAAGTCCCGGACTTATGCCTTTTTCAAGTGAAACAAAGCACAACTGTAGTGACTTTTTTTGTAACAAAAATAGAAAATCGCGAACTTGCTGAAAATGCATATAAATCTAGAAAAAGAGTGTCTGGTATAAGAATCAGTGGAAATTATAAACACAAAAAAATAAAAAAAGCCAAAATTGCTGGAGCTTAACTTATAAATTTTATAAAACTTTTATAAAACTTATAAAAACCACAAAGGAAATGATGTGGCACCAAGTCAAACGGGTGCTTCTTGCAGGTTAGTTTTTTGCTCTTTAGAGTATGACTATATTCATTCTCAAATTTATGCTTATTTACTCATGTTTTACAACCAATAATTGGAGGTAAAACATCTTGATATACAATTATTACAATATTACCTCAATAATTCTATTTATTTACAGATGTAATTCAAAGTGTATGGAGCTTGTATCTGAAGATTTTATAGAAAGCACAATTCAATTTGTTAACAAATTTGATTGTAAAAATGCTCAAGACACATACTTGCAGTCATTGATTGAAAAGAGGGAAGATGGTTTAGATCTAAAGAACCAAGAAAAAAGAATTTTCTTTTATTTATCACATTAAGATTGAAGGTGTGATAAGAAAAGTACGCAAGAAATCTTTTTGCTGTATGTATGGAATTTCTATGAAACAAGTTAGATATTTATGCATTTTATTAAAAAAAAAGAGCAGCCTATAGATTACAGAGGTAAATCTCTGTGATCACGATGCAACGCATTACCTGGAGATACATTAACAAAAGTATGTGAGCAAAGTATGTACCTTTGTGCTGAATTATATTTTTAAAAATATTGGCAACAAAGCCAGAGAACTGCACCTATTTCTTGATGG